ATGTTCAGTTTATGGTTTCATTCGTATAATGGATCAGATGCTCTGTTTTTGGATTGATATGAATTGGATGCTCTGGTTTTTCAATTATATGCTTTTTACGTGGTCCTGTGGAGGGGAGTTCATTCATATTATGTGAAGAACAGTGTTAGTTCTCATTTTACTTGGATGTATGAGTAATGAGGATCTATGTGGATGATTTGATTATCAGTATATATGTCAATGTGAATGTTCACATTTTGTTAATGTGGAATATGTGAAGAATTTGGATGTTCTCATTTTAAATTGATGTTTGCTGAATGAGGCTCTGTGTGTGTCATATAATTCAGAGTGTATGTGTCAATGTAAAGTTCACATCTTGTTAATATTATGTGAAGATTGTTGATGTTCTCATTTTACTTTGATGTTTGCTTAATGTTGACATGTTGTTAATATCAATGTGAATGTTCACATCTTCGTATTGTGAATTATGGATTTAGCATTTGAACTGTACGCGTAGTCATCTATTTTTTGCACAATGTGAATTTTCATATCGATTTTTATTACTGTTCATTGTTGTGTTTTTGTGTTTTTACAGGAGATGGATACCTTTATGCTGTTGGTGTGTACATATGGTTGCAGTACAATTGTAATAAATGTTGCCCGTGCAATGTGTTATTCTCGTTTGGTGGAGTGTTTGTGTGAGAAATGGGATGAGTTATCTGCTGGTTCTATTTCATTGTTCTGTAAACTACCTGGGATTAGTAAGTGTGATTTGGACAATGAGGAAGAATTTCAAAACATGTTACTGCTTGCTAAATCAATGGGGGTACAACATGTAAAAGTTGTGGTTGAGTTGAAAAGTGATATTGGTCAGTCAAGTAGTTGGGGATTGGTGCGGATGGGGGTTGAGGAAGAAATTGATGTATTACGGAGATTTTGCCACCATAAGGAGAAGGTGTTGTTGTCAGCCCCTTGGGCAAATGGTATTACGCATGTGGGACAATGGTTTGTTGGAGGTGCACAAGAATTTCGTGACGTTTTATGTAAGTATGCCATCCAATGTGGGTTTTAGTTTACATACGTGAAGAACGAGACAACAAAAGTTACTGTTGTGTGTGCGATGCGGGAGGAGTGGGGCTGCTTGTGGGCTATACATTGTAGAGCACAACGAGCAAATGATTTTTTCTACATCAAGAGTTTTAGTGATGTGCATACTTGTGGTACGGATGTCCGAACATCAAAAAATCTGCGAGTTAGTTTGGATTTGGTGTCGAGTACCATATCTGAAATTGTGAGGGACAAGCCGTTGACTCGGCCGTGTGATGTTGTGACTATTTTGAAGAGGGATTATGGGCTAGATGTGAGTTACCATGTCGTATGGTTGGCTGTGGAGAAAGCAAAGGCTGGTATTCATGGAGATCACTCATTATCGTTTGACCAGCTGCGGTGGTATTCGGATGCTGTGATGCGGTACAATCCGGGGAGTTATGTCAATATTGACTATGATGCGAGTAGTAAACAGTTTTGTCGTTTCTTTGTGTCATTCGCTGCGTGTATTTCTGGGTTCAATTCTTGTCGGCCTTTATTATTCTTGGATGGAACATTCCTCAAAGGAAAGTACAAAGGTCAGCTACTTGCGGCAACGGCGAAAGACGGAAATAATGGTTAGTATTTTTTTTACCTGTATATTCATGTCAATATTCACATTGACATGCATAGTATGGACAAATGAGTGATTAAAAAATTATAAGTAATGTGAACATTGACATTAGTATGCACTGATGTGAATGTTCACATCTGTGTCTGCTAATGACAGTAATGTGAACATTCACATTATTATACACTGATCCATTCACATTATTATACATCTGTGTCTGCTAATGACAGTAATGTGAACATTCACATTCACATCAGTGTATACTACTGTCAGTTGATCCATTAATGAATAGTACTGTGAATGTTAACATTATCAATTACTGAACAATCAAAAATGAATTATTAATGGTCGTTAATGTGAATGTTTACATCATTGATGTTTATGAACTTGAATCCAGAAATAACAATAGTAATAGGGTAATGTAGATATAAACATTCACATGACCTGTTTCGTTTATATTGTTTTCTATTCACTTTGGAATATTGTGAACAGTTGCGTATTGGTGTTGTGTTATAGGTCTGTTTCCTGTTGCATTTGCGATTGTTGATTCGGAGACCACGGCGAATTGGTCGTGGTTCTTGTATGAACTTGGGAAGGTTGTTGATGGTAAACGCCAGATTACTTTTATTTCGGATCGTAATCTTGGCCTGTTAGAAGCTATGCCGAAGGTGTTCCCATCGGCTCATCACGGTTATTGCTTACAACACTTGAAGAGCAATTTAAGAGTCTGGATGAAAGGAATTGATAATGGATTCAGGGATCACCTAGTAAGTAGTTTGGGTGATTGTGCTTTTGAGCCAACTGTGGTAGGGTTCCATGAAAAGCTTGCAAAATTAAAAGATGAGGGTAAACAACGAGCACATGATTTTTTCAAGGACTTGGCACCTGAGCACTGGGCAAATTCATACTTCAAGTAATAATAGTTTCATAAAGTGTTCAATTTGTCAAGTTCAGAATGGTAGCGATGTGAATTTTCAGTTAAGAATTGTAAAAATCTTCCAATTGTGTTTCATGTTCAATGTCAATGATGTGAATGTTCACATCTGATAATGATGACTGATTTGAATGATGTGAATGTTCACATCTATTGTCATATTTTGCTGTTGTTAACATTCATATCATTTTGTCATTTAAGTTGATGTTAATGTTCACATCTGTCTATTGTGTAAGTTGATGTTAATGTTCACTGCGAATGATGTTAATGTTCACATCAGTCAACGTGAATGTTCAGACCTGTTAAATTTCGTATTGTAAAATGTTTGTGATATTGTGCAGGGGCATGCGTTATGGGGAGATGACTTCCAATGCAGCGGAGTCATTTAATAACTGGATTAAAGAAGCACGTAATCTTCCTATCACTCAAATGGTGGACACAATTCGTACTCAGTTGATGCGGCAAATGTCTGCACGACGTGACCAAGTAAACAAATGGAAAGAGCTTATTTGTCCTACATTCGAAACAAGGCTTATGGATTCGTTCAATGACAGCAGGTCTTGGCAAGTTAGCAAAGCCAATGAGAATGTGTTTGAAGTTCATTCGATACCATCTGTTACTGTTGATGTTGCGAGGCGTACATGTTCGTGCTTCAAATGGCAAATCAACGGATTCCCATGTGACCATGCTGTTGTTGCCATTCAGAAGAGCCGCTACAATCTCAATGATTGTGTGGAACATTACTTTCATGTACAGACATATCGTGCAGCGTATTCGGGTGTCATATTCCCTATACCATCGGTGGAGAAGCCGCCTTTTGATCCCATGGACTTCACTATATACCCACCAACTGTGAAAAGACCACCCGGAAGGCCGAAAAAGAATAGGATCCCATCAAGGGGTGAGAAACTGAAGCAAATAAGGTGCGGGAGATGTGATAAGCTGGGGAGCCATAATCGGAAGTCATGCAAGGAGCTGATATAGGATGTACATTTTTCATTCCAACGTTGTGTTTTACATTAGATTATTATATTCATTTTTAAAATAAGATTGTGTTGTGTTGGCAAGCAAAATAATGGTTTAGCAAACTTAGTATTTCATTTGTGCTTTTTCATTTTCTTTTTGTGTATGAAACTGATATTTTGTTAAAGTCGTAATGATAAATACATGATGTGGACATTTACACTTACGTAAAAGAATCATATTATGTGAAAACTTGCACATGGGTTGAACTTTTTTACCTTATTGTTGTTAATGTTGACATGAATATAAGCTGTGATGTGAACTTTCACATGCATAAAGATTGAGATGGTGTGAACATGCACAACTGTTATGAATGAAAAGAAATGTGAATATTCACACCTGTGTATGTTACCCGTAATGATGTCATGCAAACAATGTGTATATTCCTGCACAAAGTATGTGGATTACATAAAAATCGGGTTCCAAAAATCGCATCAATTATGCTCATCACAACACGGCATTATGAATATCATAAGTGAGTATGAACATTCACATCAATGTTACAACTGTGAACATTCACATCTGTCAAACATTAGTGCATATGAATATCATAAGTGAATGTTCACATTTGGCAGAAAATCATAAAACATTCACAACTGTTATGAACAAGAACAAATGTGAATATTCACACTTGTGTATGTGATCCGTAATGATGTGACATAGATATTCTTGCGGAAAATATGTGTACTATAGAACAATCGGGTTCAAACCATCGCATAAATTATGCTCATCACAACACGGTAGTATGAATATCATAAGTGAGTATGAACATTCACATCAGTGTTGCAACTGTGAACATTCACATCTGTAAACATTAATGCATATGAATATCATAAGTGAATGTTCACGTTTGGCAGAGAAGAATGACATTTACAACTATTATGAGCAAGAACAAATGTGAATATTCACACATGTGTATGTGATCCGTAATTATGTCATGTAGACCAAGTGTACACTCCTGCACAAAGTATGTGTATTATAGAACAGTCAGGTTCAAACATTCGCAGAAATTACATTCATAACAACACAGCAGTATGGATATCGTAAGTGAATGTGAACATTCACATTAGTGATGCAACTGTGAACATTCACATCTGTAAAACATAACAACACCAAAAGTAGTTCAAAATTCGCAGCTGGCTTTTTCCCATTAACATATGTTGTATCACTGTTTTACAATCAGTTGTTGTGTCAAAATATCAACGCATTCCATATTAACATTCAAATCGACTGTTGGTTAGTTTGTAGGTGGACAGCCCCCACCTATAGGTTTTAATGAAGCTCTGATTTCTTATGATTCAAAAAACTATGCACTAACAAATCTCGTAGTCCACACCATTCTGAACTATTGAGGCTGCCCACAATTTCTTCATGGTATATGTGCGCCCTCATGATGTAACATACTGCAGGTCCGCAGTCCACTCTGTAAATGCGAAATGGTTTTGATTAGCAGTTGACATAAATATTTGCATAATGGTTATGGAGGATTTGAAAAAAAAGTAGTGAGGCTTACGAGTCGTCGCCTTGCTGAGGACAAACATCAACACTTTTGATTGGTTGTGCTGGATTTTGGCCTGCTAACTTAGTGTATAGCGGTGATGACTCGCCAATAACGCTCACAACATGCTCAATGTACTTCCTCTGTGTATGGAATTTCAAATTAGGCACCAACAAACATATGTGTGTGTACAGTCATTTAATGCATGAGAACAAGTCATGTTTGTGTTCAAAAATAGCCATTTACAACTTCCTGTGCTTGGTCGATATGCGGGTTATGTATGCTTGTTCTTGGGCGCAATGAGTTGTAATGCCTCCACAAATTGTCTTTAGCATCATACACAACTATCGTCCAGTGGTACTCATGATGCAATGAGAATAGTAGGTATCTCTCTCCTTGGTAGTTTTTGACATGTGCATCAATGTGTTTACTCCTTTTGCGAGGATGGTACTCTCGTATCACTTTCTGTACACATTTGACAAATAATTAATGGACTGTGAAGTTTCACAGTCACATTACAAGTAATGGAATGATAGATTTTACCAAACACATGCTCGTGAAGATCAATGAGGCTTCATCTGAAGTTGGGTTGACCACCTCTTGTTGTTCATGCAACAGTTCAGCATATGCATCTATGAGCTGCACAAACATGGGGTCATATTATATAGATAGATTTTGTGGCTGTGAGTGTGTGTGTGTCTGTGTGTGCATATGCATGAAGAGTGAATTATGTTTGTAATGGCATACATTGCTGTGTATTAATTCCTCCTTGATAAGGTTGACAATGTCATCAAAATACACATGTGTAGCCTTTGAATCTCCTTTCCACAACAGCAGCCTGTGCATTATGAACAAACCAATGTGAATATTTGCATTGCACAGATCTGAACAAACCAAAAAAATTAAACACAGTGATGAATATAGACTATTACGGAATGTGAATGTTAACATTAGATGTTTGTATAGTCACTTACTCATCGCCTCCACTTTTTTGTAAAGCTTGGACCTTTTGTTTGTCTTGTTTGGACATCTTGCTCCAGACTTTGAACTTGTTAGTCAAGGATAATTTTTTTGGCTGCTTCGCTGGTGGGTGTTTCTCCACATCTTCAACCATTTCAACTGGATGGGGCTGCTTTTGGCCAGGTAAGTCTGGGTACTGGAAGTCAGGCAAGCGATGTTGTTTGCGATCGTTTTCCTTTATACGCTTGACCCTAGAAGGTGGGCTAATATTGTGTTGCATTGGGCTAGGGGGTTGCTTTTCTGCCACAGCCTGTGTGACAATGTGGACTGACTGGTCATCGTAAAGATCCTGAAGAATTGTTTTATCGCATTCTAAGTCGATGACCAGCTGCGTTAAGCGTTTGATTTCTTTATCCTTCTGCTCCATGCACTTCTTTATTTCGATATTCACGTTGGGCGGGCTGGACTGGTTGAACAATTTGTGTTCAAGATTAGCTATGACTCTTGCCTTTAACTCCCATGAAAATTGAAGGTGTTTGTACTTTGCTTCCCATTGCCTTGTGACGCCCCAAGCCTTCCAATTTTCTTCGATAAGCACATCAATGATATCAGGTTAGTTTGTGTTTGGTATTACAATAGCTCTGTCATAATGTTGGCTGCTAAATGGAATGTGAATGTCCTCATTACTGTCCTTTAGCTCCACCCCATCCCCAGAAAAAGTGGGAGTTGCAGCCATTGTGTTGTTCTCCCTTGATGTCAGAAAGGTTGGGAGATGTTGTGGCTGGTTCATAAATTTCAGGCTTCACCTTCAATGTTTTACGCTTGAACTTTTGTAATTCTGTTGGGATTGCAAAGAGTTCACTGGCATTAACCTAAAAATGAAAAAAATATGTTACTTAACGTATATATTTAGGTGGTGTTATAATGTGAATGTTTTGATCAGTAGTTAAAGGCCCTACCTCATTAAAACCCAAATCAGCTAAAGAGGTGGTTTTCACCTTCTTCTGTAAAGCAGTCAGATCCCACTTCACACAGCAAGAAAAAGCATTGGGTTTGTGAGGTTGTAGGATGGTTGTGTGCTCACATAACCAGTACTTCAATAAAACAAGAAACGCATATTGTTATTTAGCATTTGCATAGTAATGGCAACATATGTGAATATTAATCACAGTGGCACTGTTGTGAACATCCCAGTAGTACATTATCATTGAATGTGAACATTCACATCAGTGGTTCAGATGTGAACATTCACATCTATGAAACGTAAGTGATGTGGCACTGTTGTAAACATTCACAGTAGTATGTTATGAGTGAATGTCATCATTCACATCAGTGGTTCAGATGTGAACATTCACATCTGTGAAACATAAGTGATGTGGCACTATTGTGAACATGCACAGTAGTATGTTATGAGTGAATGTGATCATTCACATCAGTGTTTCAGATGTGAACATTCACATTTGTGAAACATAATTGCCTATGGAGCAGTGTTGTGAACATTCACAGTAGTATATTATGAGTGAATGTGGACATTCGCATCAGTGATTCAGATGTGAACATTCACATCAGTGGCACTATTGTGAACATTCACAGTAGTATATTATGAGTGAATGTGAACATTCGCATCAGTGATTCAGATGTGAACATTCACATCTGTGAAATATAATTGCCTATGGACATTCACATCAGTGGTACAAATGTCAATGTTCACAGTTGGCTTAGATGAACAACACTGGAGGACATGTGAATGTTATTATTTGACAACATGGGTACTTACCATCAATAACATGACATAACCAGTGACTTTTGCTGGAATTTTGTCATTTTGGGAAATAAATGATGTCAACGTTGTCCTAATTTGCTTGGCCCAATCATATTCTTGCATGCTTTCCAATGGGACCATATGTGCGTAGTAGCCCCATCCTATTGTCTCTCTGCTTGTTGAGAAAAAAAGCTTTTGGCAAGCATACATGCACACTAGTCGGGCAACTTCTTCGTTGTCATCTTTCTTTTTGCCTTTCAATGCCTCGGTCAAAAGGGTGCGTATCCATTTTGAAGTCAAGCGGCTGACGTTTTTGCATCTTTTGTTTACAATGCCAGTCTTTGGTTTCGCACCATATGATATGTCCATCGGCTTGCTGCCACAGTCCACACCAAAAATCAGCTTGATGTCGTTGTTGTGTATATTCATCTTCTTCTCCCCAATGTAGAAGGCATCTTTTGAAGCTTTGTACATTTGTAGTACATGCACAACAACATCATCATACTTCATGCATTTGTCAAGGTCGATCTGATTGTTTCTTAATGCATCAAACAAATATGAAAAAGGTGTTTGTTGAAGGCACTGAAGCTGTGCTTGTGTGAACTTGGTGGTTTTCATTAATTTGACCAGTCCGGTCATATTAGATCTGTAGTTCACATGGCGCAAGTATTTGTTTGTGGGGTTTCTTCCTTCACATGGTACTCATCT